ACCTCAGCAAAGGTCAACACGGTAGATCGACAGAATAGAAACGGACGTGGCAGACGAGATAACGGAGAAGACCCAGACAAAAGATTGTTGAGAATCCGCACTGCCATAACAACGGTGTTCAAAAAACCGATATATCGGATTCTGAGCGAAATAAGAGATGAGCCTTTCGTCAAGTGGCCAGCCAAGCTAGGAGAAGCTCAGAAAGACTACGACGACAAATCACGGTGCACCTTCCACAAAGAAAAGGGGCACCGAACTGAGAATTGCACACCATTAAGACAACACCTGGAGGAATTGGTGGCGACAGGACACTTGGATAAATACATTGAATGAGGGACGCAGCCAGCTCCCCAGGACCATAATAATCCCAATGGGATGCCAATCGACGCCCCGCCTCAAGGCATCATCAATGTGATACATGGAGTTTTTGAACCTGAGCGTGTATGCGAGCTCAGAGGATCAATTAAAAAAGCAGAATACTTAAGAGAGGTGCTAAGTGCTCAACCTGCCATCAAGAAGGGAAAAACAGAGGCAACAAACGTCATGTCTTTTTCGGATAAAGACTTGGATCGAATATACTGTCCTCACAATGATGCCCTAGTCGTCACTCTCCGAGTCAAGGATTTTGACGTCAAGCGGATTCTGATTGACCACGGTAGTTCATGTGAAATCATGTACTACGAGACATTTAAACAATTAAAGCTGCAAGACAAAGACTTGGCGCCTACCGTATCTCCCCTAATTGGATTCAACTCCATGCCAGAATGGCCCGTCGGTAAGATAATTCTTCCAATCAGAGCAGGAAGCGTGACGAAACAAGTGGAGTCCTGGGTATTGAAGGTCCCTTCCACTTACAACATCATCTTGGGCAGAACATGGCTGCATGCCATGCGATCAGTGGCGTCTTCTTACCACCAGGTAATGCGGTTCCCCAACGACACCGGTATAATTGAAGAAGTCTATGGAGATCAGATCATGTCAAAACAATGCTTCGTCACGGTGAATGGCAGCCGCGCTGCCAAAGGATACGTTCATTCGGTGGAAGAACCCGAAAGTAATGAGCTATTCGCAGATGTCGGCAAAGCGGCGGATCAGAAAGCAGTGTAGGACTTGGTAGAGGTAAAAATAGATGAAAAGAACCCGGATAAGTTCTTTTTGCTCGGTTCGTCGTTGTCCAGCACTGAAAGATTAGAGGTCTTAGAATTCTTAACCTCTAACATCGAAGTGTTCGCCTGGACGCCCTACGACATGCCAGGCATTGATCCAAACTTCATCTGTCACCAACTCAATGTCCACCCATCAGCCAGACCAGTCATTCAGCGCACTCGCAGATCGGCACTTCACCATGCCGAAATAGTGGCAGAAGAAGTAGGTAACCTGCTGGAGGCAGGAGCAATTAGAGAAGTGCACTACCCAAAATGGATCTCCAACATGGTCGTAGTATCGAAGAAGAATGGCAAATGGCGTATCTGCGTCGACTACAAAACAGTCAACAAGGCATGCCCAAAAGACAGCTTTCCTCTACCAAGAATAGATCAACTGGTAGACCTAACGGCGGGGCACAATCGACTTAGCTTTCTGGATGCATACAGAGGCTACCACCAGATCGTCATGCATGAACCAGACTAGGAGGTCACATCCTTTACAACTCCAAGAGGACTATACTGTTACAAGGTCATGCCCTTTGGCCTAAAGAACGCAGTGGCAACATTCCAACGGATGGTCACCAAGATGTTTGAACCATTGTTAGGCAGAACAATGGAGGCTTACATCGACGACATGGTGGTCAAAAGCAATGATGAGAATGACCATCTTAAGGACCTAGGCGAAATGTTTGAGATCCTAAAGAAGCACAAGTTGCGCCTTAATGCGTCCAAGTGTGCATTCGGAGTAGGATCTGGCAAATTCTTGGGCTTCCTAGTGACCA